TTAGTAGCTTGTAACCATTTGTAGCATTGAGGTATTGGGTTGTAGGGTTCCAAGGCGGAATATGAGGTGCTGTTCCTCCAATTTTTGGGTGGCATCGTTGTTGCACTGGAGGAGGCCCTGGATGGACATGCCCTCCTGGGAGGGGGAGTTGAAGTGGTTCACGACTGAGAGGTGTTGTCGTTTGCCACGAACTGAGCGTAGGCGCTCCACAAAGTGGTCTCTGAGCCTCTGCTTTGTCTCCCTGATGTAGAGGGGGCCACATCGGGAACAGCGGACACAATAGACCACATTTAGTGCATGTTCAGGTGAACATCTGTTTAATGTGGAAGGTTTTTTTGGGGCCTGGGATGGAGGTGAGTGGGGAGGTGTAGGGGCAGGTGTAACACCACCTGCGGTTGCAGGGACAGGTGGTGGGGAGTGCAGAGCAGATGAGGGAGTCGCGGAGGGAGCGGTCCCTCCGGAAGGCGGATAAGGGTGGGGCGGGAAATACATTCTTCGTAGTGGGGTCAGATTGCAGGTGACGGAAGTGGCAGAGAATGATGCGTTGAATCTGGAGGTTAATAGGGTGAGATGTGAGGGCAAGGGGAATTCTGACTGTTTTTATTGCGGGGAGGGGGTGTGAGGGTTGAGGTGCGGGAAAAGCAAGAGATGCGGTCGAGGGCTTTTTCGACCACTGGGGGAAAAATTGCGGTCCTTGAAAAATGAGGACATCTGGGATGTCTGGGAGTGGAACACCTCATCTTGGGAGTAGATGCGGCGGAGGCAGAGGAATTGGGATTAGGGGATTGCATCCTTGCCGGAAGGTGGGTGAGAGGAGGTGTAGTCTAGGCAGCTGTGGGAGTCGGTGGGCTTGAAATAGATTTCACTTTCCAGGTGGTTACCGGAGATGGAGATGGGATGGGGATGTCGTGGGCACCACCCCAAGGCCTCCTAACCTCCCTCGATCTCTTTATCTCTAACTGCTGTCGCGACATCAATTGCCTCAACCTCTCCACCCCTCTCACTCACTCCAACCTCTTCCCCCACAGAACGTGCAGCCGTCCGTTCCAATCCTAACCTCACTATAAAACCCGTGGACAAGGGAGGCGCAGTTGCGGTATGGTGCACTGACCTTTTACATCGCTGAGGCCAGGCGCCAACTCTCTGACACCACCTCCTACTGCTCCCTTGACCATGACCCCACCCCTGACCACCAAAACAATATCTCCCAGACCATCCATCACCTCAGGTGACCTCCCACCCACAGCCTTCAACCTCATCGTTCCCCAACCCCGCACCGCCCGTTTCTATCTCCTTCCCAAAATCCATAAACCCGACTGCCCTGGTCGACCCATTGTCTCTGCCTACTCCTGCCCCACCGAACTTATCTCCACTTATCTCAACTCCATTTTCTCCCCCCCGGTCCAGGAACTCACCACCCACGCCCTCTACCACCTCCAAAACTTCCAATTCCCTGGACCCCAACACCTCACCTTCACCATGGACGTCCAGTCCCTGTATACTTGCATTCCCCATGCAGATGGCCTAAAAGCCCTCCGCTTCTTACTCTCCCGCAGGCCCGACCAGTCCCCCTCCACCGA